ATACAAGTTCATTTTTAATATGTACATTTCTTAAGAGAGTATGAATTTCTTTTCAAACACAAATGAAATAATTTTGTTACTTACGATAATCTCTATGAATTTCATCTATTTCATTCTCTGTCTGGTGCTTTGTAAATATCATACTCTGTAACAATAGCACAAATATTATTTTTAAAGATTAATAGATGAATGATACAAATCTGAAACTGAAAGATTTTAAGACATAATTATCTTGGAACTAAAATAAACTGTTCTGCCCATCAATATTGTTTTAGCATTTAATTTTTAGAGGCTCATTTTAAAGATAGGTCTTTTTTTTAAAAAAAAAAAAACAATCATAGAAAATTGGTGACGCATACCCTGTTATTATGAGCAAAGCCCCAAAGCTACTGCTACATAATCTCAAAGTGATTTGAGATGCCTTCGGAACAGCAAATTTATACCCTGGAATTTGTATTTTTGTCTGCAAGGAAAATCTTTTTCAGAATCTTCAGAATATTATTCAAAAAGAAAAAAACAATCAATGCTAGTGAAAGTGACTTTGTCCATTCTACTACAGGTTTCACAACTGATTGCTGAATGCGAATAAAATCTAGTCAATGGGTTTCACAGGATCATTCTTTTTCCACTTTCCTTCTTAAGCAGTAATAGTGCACACAGCCCCAAAAACGTCACGGTCAAAACTTTTGAACTTTGTAGAGATCAGCTGCCACATGCAGTGGCAATTTTTTCCCCTTAAATAGGATAAATAGGAATACAAGATTTATAACAGCTATAGCAGTCTCATTTCCATATTTAACCTCCTCCGATTATATTAAAAGAAACTGAAAAATCATTCCCCAAATTTTCCGATAAATCTCACCCAAAAAGTTCAATGGGTCTATACGTTGACCAAAAGTCTAATGTTATGGTTCCTGACATAGAAACAATATGCCAGGCTTTTCAGATTTCTAATACAGTACTGCAGATTTCAAGAATATAAATTGAATTGTTGTACGGAAAGGGAGAACTGACCTACTAGGGATCCATGTGCCCCAACAGCTATAGACTATATATACCTAGCTATCTGTATGATCACAGAACAATTATGAAATCATTTGGGATAGGGGCACTTAGAAAACATGTATTTAACAAAGAGGTTCACAAAGCGCAAGATTTATTTATTCAGTAAATATCAGTCATGGAGAAGTGGGGGATAGTCGGGATAGACTAATTACTAAATACTGTTTTATAAAAAAATGAGCTTAATCCTCCAGTTGCTCTACCAACCTGATATAAAGTCCAAGAAAAATGTAAATTAGTGCTGTTCACTTTGTATTATGCTAAATACATGATCATCACCATCATCATTATCACCATTATCATAATTTATAAAATCAGATTAGGAAGAGAGTTTAGCAGATATCAAATTACCCATTTCTGCTATAAAAGCTTGGTATGTCTCTCTACCTAGCACTAGCTGTTTAGACATTAATGGTTTATACTTAATAAACCTTCTAAGCATCAGGAGAGAGATTAGGTTTGAATTCTAAATCACAAGTACAAAATACACAGATTAAGTGAATATTCGTTCATTTACTTATTCATTTTGAAGGTAAGTTTCTAAACTTCCTTGCCATGTAATATGGATTTTTTGGTTTCTCCAGCAGCAAATCAATGGAATCAGCAGCAATTTGATACATGGTGAAAAATTTCCTTTTTAGGAAGGTCAACCATAAGCCTTTGTGTTGTTTTATTTCCTGCTGTTTTGTGTTTCTATGTTTAAATAAATGGCTTTATTACTTTGCACAATCTAAAACTCTGTGGTTAAATTGACAGGACATAAATACTTTAAATGAAAAAAAAAAACCTCAAAGCTTTAATTTGGTGGTAGCAATTAAATAGACGGAAGCAGTTTATCTAGCAGGTAATTCAATGTTGGATGGTTTCTGACATTATTTCCCATCAATATAAACTTTAAAGATGGGCATACAGTGCACATTTACTTGGCCTTTGCGGTGACATTTCAAAAGTCAACTTTTGGTTGGGAGATCATTGAACAGGCATATGAACAGAAAATAACAGGGAGGGGCAGATACGGCGGGGACTTTAGGGCAGGCCATTACCGGGGAAGGAGGGTTCGCTACATTACAGA